CCCTAAATCTGCTCTGTACAACACGTCTGAATACAATAAAACCCCGCATTAAAAGACATTCAGGTTAGCGGAACCCTTTCACTACACAGTCAGGGTTTCAACCCATTATGGTTGCCTACTAATGGGAACCAAGAAATGTAAAATCTGCTGATTAAGAGATCTTTTCAGTTTTCAAATTTTCCTCATGATCCAGCATGTCTCTCAACATATTTAATTCAATATTGTTGTCTGATAACAGGAACAAGCAGATAAAATCTGTTAAGTGAGAGGTCTTTTTAATTATTAAATATAAATATCCCAAAATGTCTGGTACTCTTCACAAGCTTCCAGGTGAATAATGAATGCTAATGAAGCACACCTTTTCTTCTTACTCTTCTTAGCATTCAGTGCAGCACTTTTAACAAAGTTTTAAATTTTCACTTGGAAATATCAATGATAAGGGCAATTAGAATAAAGTTCTTGGGAAACATACTTGGCCATGAAATAATAAATCAATCCCTATAACCTTCTGTCACTTATCCAAAAGCTCATGTCATGCTTTTAATGCCAACCTATTCACAATGCTAATTGATTGTCATCTTCATACTGTATTCTTCACTTCATGTTGTACTTCCAACTCTTTTTTCTAATCAGCGACAATTCCACCTCACCCTACTTCCATGATTTATCTCCCTTGCCTTGTTCTCACCTTTCCTCTCAGCAACTCTTGCCATGTTTTCTTAGTCTCTACAACCATTTCCTTCCAAATTCCAACACTTTCAATTTTGTTCCAAAGCCAGCTTCTCTGAATAAAACAAAACTGCTGATTGGACAAATACGAAATAAAATGAACACAAGACAGTATTTGGATCAATCAAAACAAATGACAAAAAGCACTTTATTTCCCCAAGCCAAAAAATACTCGGGTTACTGACTATGATTTCGGATATGGCTTCATATATAAACAAGACGTTTGACTGAGTGAATCAACTAAAAAATCTAGTTTCAGATGGTTGCCAGCCTATAAACCATGCTCTCCCTTTTCTTCAATGCACTTAAACAAATCACAAACATCCCAAAAATGATAGACTTCTGGCATTAAATTGGGTTTATGACCAATGATTTTCAGAAAAAAATGCATAAAGAATTATTCATAGCAATTTCTAATATTGGGAACAGCTATACCAAATTTGCTTTGGGACACTTGTGTGAACTGCTGTTTATTAATCATTTGAGGTTTGCTGAGCCTGAGTACATTAGAGGGTACAGAAGAGAGGAGATAGAAATTTAAAATGAAAAAAAAAAAAAAAATTAATAAAAATCTTTTTTTGCTTTTAGTAAATTATATGACATGAAAGCAAATTAGCTCGTTAGGTTAGTTGTGTAGTACTGTATATGCAAAGGTGGGTAGTTACGCCACAAAAAGTTGCGGTGCAACTTGTACCTAAACTTTTTTGGTTGCGCTTAAAATTGCTACAGTTGCGCCGCACATTTTTCCAGAGTTGCGGAACTGGTTGCAACGCAACTTTTACAAGAATTTTCAAGCGCAACACGCAAAATTTTTCAGCAATAATTGAAAATTGGAATACGACCGCATAAACAAACGGGCATCCCTAGCGCCGTGCATTACAAAAATTTCTGTTTGACAGAATGCTTCAGCATACACATGATACAGGTCAGGCAGCATATTTCTGAACTGTAGCGTGATGAGCCCCAGTGGCAGTGAGACATTTTTTTGTAATTTTGTAATAAAATCTTGATAATATTAACTTTTTTGTATCAATTATATTTTGTTTTACTTCTAAATACAAAGGCAATTTTTTTATTATAGTATTTGTTTATTTTAATTTTTTTTTAAAGTTGCGCGTTGCGGTTGTGGTTTCGCTTGGTGCAAACTTTTTTAAATTGGTTGTGATTGTAGCGCAACTATTTTAGCAGTTGCAGTTGTAGGGCTAAAAAAAAAAGTTGTGAATGCCCACCTTTGAGTATATGACTGTTGTATATACAGTATATACTTATGTGAAACACTGGACAGTTGTTAGAATTAGGTGTAGAAATGGTGAGTGTAAAGAAAAAAGGCAGACGAACTATGGGTATGTGATAAAAGATGTGCAACAAGAGAAAAAGAATGAAGTAAGGATATGTGAACTGTGCTTGGTAGAAAAAGTGGGGGGGGGTAAAAGTATATATGGAATATGGCTATCAAAGGATGCAAGGTGTTGAGTTGTGCTGATTTCAAACTAAATGGAAATTAAACACTTCACTGCAATCACTGTACAGTTGATCTAGAGAAATATACCAAACTGATCTGAGTGAATAGTCAGACAGACAATGAAAGTGGGATTAGTAAGTAAGTAAGTAAGTAAGTAAGTAAGTAAGTAAGTAAGTAAGTAAGTAAGTAAGTAAGTAAGTAAGTAAGTAAGTAAATAAATAAATCACTACACACTTTTTTATTTTTTTCATTATACGAACAACAAACACTACCATAAATGACAACACTAACACAGTTCACAACAAACTCCATCATAACTACAATCGCCACAACCAAAATAACCAACACAGGGCACCTACCATCACCAATATGTCAAATTGCCGTGATCACCATCACCAATCATGACTATCAATACCAGGGCACTTCACTATGGTCACTAAGCCACTTCAGGACCACAATGACACACCTCAATTGGTGGCTAATCCCTTTTCCCCAGTCCAGGCAATGTTCATTTAATTCACCAAGCACCTCACTTCACTTTACCCACCCTACTGTATACTCACCCAGGCCTCAGCCAACATGTTTTGTTTTTTCCACCCACCTTGTCATTTCAGAGCAACTGATGTTATATCAGTTAATGGACATGGCACACCATCCATACAACTTGTTTCATCTTAGCCCATGCGGTAATGTTTTTCACTAGGTTCCATATTATCATCTCTTGAACATCTGATGCTGCATTCTTTAATGAACACACCATACATCTCCACTCACCCCAGGCACTCAGCTTGACTAAATTCCCCTGACCCTGCTATTATAACTGTGATCACGGTGTGGATTATATTCCTTCCAGTGAATATTTACCATGGTTTTCATTTACATTCATGATAATTCAGTGCTTATAATGCTAGCAGGAAGATTGTTGAATCAAACGTTCCAGTATAAAATTAATGCTATAAGAGGATTGTAATACAGAACAACGGGGGTGAACACTGTTGTACTGGATGGTCTTGGTGGTACCCAGGAGTTAATTATACTGTTCCATCACTGTAGGTACTGTATTCATGTATGCATGATTTCATGTTTACATAAACCCCTCAAGGATGAAACCTCCCACATAAACAGGAGTATACTGCATTATTATTTACCTGTCAAATACATAAATAAGTACTGTATTGTAACAGGGTTTTAATAATTAATATTTCCTCCTAACTGGCTATCCAGGAAATTATTTCCCCTTCAACATTATATTGATCAATTATTTGTTGACTCGCCCTTAAGTCATCCCAGAACATAACCCAAGAACATCACTGGTTCTATCATAGGGTACCAGACCCCAGTTCACTCAGCTATAAATAAGAACCTAACTTTACAGGTGTGGAAGTGAAGGCGGTCAAGTATAATGCCTCCTTGAGGTAATGAAGGATTTGTGTACATTATTTTATATCTACATTGTCCCAAACAGACCATCAACATACTCCTTAACACTCTTGCACACACACACACACACACACAGTCGTATCTGTAACATTATCCCCTCCCACGCATGGGGCTAGCTGTGACCTTTTGGCATGGAACCAACTGCATTATATGTAAATTAGTGACCCTTAAAAAAATCATATTGGTGAAATCAGAAATTGGGTAAGTCATAATAAGGCTGAGAAATTAAAGAAAATAAAAAAAATAAATATTGGAAAAATTTCCAAATATTTTCACTTCCTTTTCAGTTTACAAATTATTTTATTTATTTATTTATTTACTTACTTATTTATCTATTTACTATTTTTTAATCCATTGGTTAATATAAGTGTCTAGGTATGTTAAGATGTTTTTAGAATTGTGCTGGTATGTACAACTTGGTTGGAAGCAATATTAGTAAAAAATAAAAATAATAAATAAAAAAAAAATAAATAAAAAAAAATAAATAAATAAAAAAATATCCATCAGTTTACACACAAACAACCATTAAAGGTTTGAATCAGTTAAATATTGAAAAATAAACCAAATAACCATTTTGTTAAAGCTAATAAATACTTTACAAACAATTTTACAGATGAATATTACTGCACAACAGACAGTGTGTGTGTGTGTGAGAGACAAGGGAGAAAATTTAAAGGGAAAGTGCAGCACATTCTGTTGCGACTGCTGGAAGACAACTGTAGTGCTCAAGCCTCACTAGGAGGGGTTGTTATACATCTATTTAGTGTTGGATTACCATGAGAGAGAATGGTTCGAGGAGTGACTTCCCTAAATCTAATATGTCAATCACAATTCCTCGATTTTGGGTGATTTTTTCCTTTTGAGTGACGCGAGAATGGCATCAGTGCCAATTGAACAAAACAAAAAATTGATGCAGATGTCATGGTGTGCAAGTGTTAAACAAAACAACACAACTTAATATATACAGTACTGTAAAGTGACGAATCAAAACTACACAAGTCATAAGTAGATCTATACACAATATCCAGCTTAACAAACAACATAAACCAGCTAGCCCTTAAACAACACTACAAAATTAAAACTAAACTTCACGCTTCACAAATATTCCAAGTATGTATATATATATATATATATATATATATATATATATATATATATATATATATATATATATATATATATATATATATATATATATATATATATATATGTATATAATATATATATATATATATATATATATATATATATATATATATATATATATATATATATATATATATATATATATATATATATATATATATATATATATATATATATATATATATATATATATATATATATATATATAAAAGTAGTGTCTAACCTTTCTTGGGCGTTTTCTTTGCCGCTACAGGAGTTCCCAGCTGTCCTGTTACATCCTGCAACCGTTTTTCAAGTTCTTGTTTCTTTTCTGCCATAGATTCTTCTTTAGATTTCGACTGGATACTTTTCTTTTCAGGTCGGGCTGGAAAAAAAAATGAGAAAAAAAATTACAATAATCTAAAGTTTTCATGAAGGGGGACCATCCACAACTTACACCGAAATACTCTTGTCAGTTCACCAGCTGACCATGTTACACTTCACATCCCCCCCCCCCTTTTAAGTCTCTTGGGCAATTTCCTACTATACAACTGTATATTACAGGATGGCCAAAACCAAGAGCAAAGGTATATTATTATCTATTTGTTGTCATTCATTCACTTTTATTGCTTTAACATCTGTATCAACCATGTGACACCCTGTTCTTTTATCATTCATGTACTCTGCTATTTCCTGGTTGCCCATTCTATTTCTATAAGTCCATTGTTCACTCCCTACTTTCATCTCCTTAGTCTATGCATCTCTTACTTATCATCATTACCTGAATTAGTGATATCCCCGTTAGCCAGAACAATTGGTGCAGAGCACTTCCAGGAATGAGAGATTTCCGGGTAAAGAGGCGACCCTCTCAAAGCAGGAAAAAAATCCCTCATCCCCGGAATTTTGCGGGTAACAGAAAAATGGTCTCGAAAATTCCATAAATTGCCCATTACATAATTTCTCGAACCCGGAAAAATATCCTTCGTTCCTGGAATTTTCCAGGTAATGGAAAAATTATCTCGGAATTTCCAGAAAATGCGCCTGATTTTTATCTCTCAAACCCAGAAAAAACTCCTCAATCCCCGGAATTTTCCAGGTACGTATCTGGAAAATGTGCCCCTCGGAAAATCGTCCCAAAAGCAGGAATTTTCCGAAAAATTCCTGCTTTTGGAACGATTTTCCGAGAGACACTCTCTCCTGATACCTGGAAAATTCCGGGGATGGAGGAGTTTTGGAAAATTCCGGCTTTGGAAACGATTTTCCAAGAAAATTTCAATTCTGGCTATCGGAGTTCCGGGTTTAAGGGATTCCGGCTAACAGAGATATTACTGTACTGTATATGATTTCTTTCACTTCACATTTTTTTAATCTTTCCATACTACCATAACGAACACTGATCAACTTTCATTTTTTTTCATTATCTTATCACCACTTGATTTCAGTATTTCTTATTTTCTTTATTCTTATCACATCATTTCTGTAGTGTCTAATCTGCTGCTCCTGCTTGCATCCAGTTAGAGTTTCACACACTCGTATAATATCTGCTCAGTATTTCCCCAGTACAAATCCCCTCTCTCGAAGCATTTCTCATCTATCTATTGCTTCCTGTTCCTCTTGTTTCTCTGGGATCCAATTCATCACCCATTGTTCCTCCTGACTCTTACACACACTATAAAATATTCTGTTTCTATTTAAACTAGCATTATCATCTCCTAAATATTTGTCTCTCCCCACCTCCCTTTATGTCCTTTCATAATGCACGTTTCTTCACATTACAGTAAGACCTCGATTAACGGACCACATATGGGGGGGAAGGGGCCGACGGATAATCCGAAAGGTCGGTTAATAGTACATAAAGTCTACGGAAATAAAACATACATTTTCAAAGTACCTTTCCCTAACCTACCTCATTTAATTCCCTCTATTCATTTTTGTTCATTTGCCATTCATATTTCAATAGAATTTGCTTTAAAACATTAACCACTTTAGTAAATAAATATGAACCAGCACAGAAACAGTGAATAAAAAATGGAAAAGTCAAAGAACATATGTCATCACAAAAATTGTGACAAGTCCCAGGTTGCTGATCTGACTTTCTACCTCATTTACACACAATTGCAGGGTCTCAATTGTTTCTCTTACTATTGACAACACAACATACATATATTGTTTCTCACTCATCATTTTTTTTCATTTTTGCATTTATGGTTTTTTATTACTACTACTATTATTATTATTATTATTATTATTATTATTATTATTATTATCATCATTATTAATATTATTACATTATCGCCCCCCAGGCCCCGATGTGGGTCAGTGACCTGTGCCGGGTGGGCTAATCCCTGGTGTTTTTTTTTTTTTTTTTTAGGAGTGATTGATGGTTAACCCGAAAGTCGGTAAATCGAGGGTCGGTTAATCGAGGTTTTACTGTACTTCTTAATTTTCTCCTGGTACACACTCATAAATTCATTCCCTAACAGGAGCTATGGAAAATATTACAAATATAAATCCCCTAAAAACAAGTTTGGTATTAGTCCACTGCTATACAATTAAAAATTAAAGATTTTGTGGTTTGCTAATTCAAACATTAGAAATAGACATTGTATTTCTACCCTTTCCTCCTCCATGGAAGCAACAGGGTAAAATATATCTAAACATAATGTATAGTAATCAACGTAACAATGCAAACATGAGTCTCGCTCTCTCTCCCTTGAAAGCCGTTTCTCGTAGCTAGGAACAAGACTTGTAAAATAAATAAATACCAAATAATATACTCACTGTATATTTTCTTAGGCTTTTTCCGAAGACAGGAGGCAACATATGCTTCTAGTTCTCTTAATGTTGAAGGTTTTAAAGTTTCAAAATCAATTTCTATTTCATCTGGATTAGAGTCCCTTAACGAAGGTTCTCTAGTCTGGATGATATGCACCACTCGTCCCAGTTTGTCACCTGTTGGAAAAATATTAACATCATTTCTCTTGATGTCCTTCAAATGTTGCAGTAAGGATGATAAGTCAACACTTTGGGGAGATTTCTAACAGAGAGAGAACACAGCTTGTACTAACCAATAATGTAAGAAATGGTTGGATTGTCAAGTTGATACAAATTATATATTTGAGACACTATCAAAACTGATTATTTTTTTAAATTAACCCCTTCCTTACCACAATAAAGAAATGGCATAAAACATATGCATGACAACCTGAAACATGATATGCCAAATAATATGGCAACAATAGTAGATGATAAATGGGATTGTTTCAGTTAAGAACTTAAGGCAATTTTGTCTAATGTGCTTTGAAAACCACTATAAACAAAAATGAATGACATTTCATTCAACAAAATCAAACTGACTGAAAGGAATCGGTCAATACATAATTGTAATACAGTGGTCCCTCGGTAAACGAACACAATTCGTTTCAGAAGGTCGTTCGTTAACCGAAACCATTGTTTCAATGGGATATTGGGTAATTGGTTCCAGCTCACAGAAAAGTATATACAAAGTAAAGCCAGAATATAATTTACATTGCTGGAATTCTTATAAGATAATGATTAATTTGAATATAAACAAGCTAAAATTTGCATCAGACATAAAAATTTTAGATCTAATTTAAGAATTTCAATAGGGAGAGCAAAAATTTTATCTTTTGTGCAAAATATATGACGTTTATATTCAAATTATTCCCTGTCTTGCAAGGATTTCAGCAATGCAAATTATATTATCCTAACTGTAAACCTAGTCTTTTTCCCCAAAAGTTTCTCAGGAAGGTAGGGGGTGGGGGGATAGGGAGGGAGGGTTTTTTGCTTATAAAATTTAATAGAAGTGACCGGGGTGAATTTAATTTGCATTGCTGGAATTCTTATAAGATTGTGATTAGTTTGAATGTAAACATAGAAAACATCACTGAATTGGCTGAGTACCTCCTCAGCTTATCAGCTGATGTTCAAAACAAAATGTGATTTTCGTAAGGATTTCGTTAATCAAATTTTTTTTCGCTAACCGAATTGAAGATTCTTATGGAAGGTAATTCGTTAACCAAAATTTCGTTAATCGAGGGACCACTGTACAGGAGTCATAATATTTTTCTCATATACAACAATAGCATTTCTGCAATAAAATTTAAAACCCAATTATAGCCACATACATACAGTAAATGTTCACCTTAGAGAACCAAGACTGTTCCCTTGATAAAAATGTGATATGTAGTAGTAGTGCTAGAAACATCAGCCTGATACCAAGTTGCAAAACAATATAGTACCCAATTGGAGAATTTACCTAAATTATTCTCCCCTATGAAGTATGGACTAAAGACAGTTTCAAATGGATTTAATTGGGCTCATTTTTAATTTCAACTGGATTAACACCGAGTCTGCCCAGTGTTTGCCAAGTCTCTCATCATGTACTTGTCCATAATGATTTCCATTCGTTTTTTTAATGACGAGTTTACACATTATTCTCAAGGCTGTATACCAGGATTAAAATTACCTTTCTAACCTACCTTTAATTAAAAACTTAATATTTTTTGACTGGCTAAATAGTTAACAAAAATTTCAACACTAAGTCCCACTCTAGAACTGTGGTAATGAACAGGTTCAAGCATAATATGTAGCTAATAGAGAAATGTGATTCTGAGACATGTAACCGATACACTGGTAGTCATCACTCCAGGGGGGAAGCACTAATCTCTACTGACACTATAGTACAGGTAAATAGGAATAAAGGCCACACAGGATAAAAAGAACAAAATTAATAAAAATTCTGACATCTATGATGTTTTTCACTTTTCATGCCCAGATTTACTAATACCAACGCCCGGATAATAAGCATCAAACGCACACAACATAACATTCATGTTGGTGATAGAATATTGTACAAGTTAACAGGAATATTACAGTTTATGTACAAAACCGGCGTAGGTTTTAAGACACTTTAGCAGATACTGTACTGCATCTAGTTTAGAGCTGAACACTAAGTGCACCATCAATGCAACATGAATAAATATGTGAATTCTAAATATTTAGTCTCACACAAAGTCCATCTATGTTGTTATTACAGTCACATCCACACCACACTTATAAGAATAAAGAATGATGTAAATAAGAGGAATCTGGCTATACAAGCTGGTCTGAATTTCAAGTGTACCCTTAGTGCAACTGGTTTCCTGTCTAGTTTTCTCAATATCTACATGTTCCATATATGGCAAATACACAGTAATCAGAGGCAGACTGTGCTGTGTGTAGCACATTCAAAATAAAAGGCTATCCTGTATACAGTAGTACCTCGATACACCAGACTAATTGGGGCAGACTCCAGTCCCCAGGGAGGCAGAGCCGCCTATGTGGGCTCCAAATAGATTTTTAAGAACATCAAACATAAGTCTGGTTCTTGACAACTGTTTTCACTGACACGACTGTTTCATTCAGTAAAGTGTTATATAAAAGTACAGGTAGCCACAGAATTTGTGGAAAAGTCATGTTAATGTACTCATGTGCATTATGAATAAAGAAAAATCTGGGAAATGAGTGTACTTTCGCCGAAAAAAGTCCTGACAGTCCCATTTCCCATCCATGAATCCTGTGAATCATGTCTCTGTGAATCCAAAACAATACCCATAGTGAAACTATATGTATAATATTGAATCAATAAATAATCCTGGCGAATGCGGCGACGTCCTGTCCCCCCCCCCTCCCCACCTGTTTACAAACATAGTGCCTTAGCTCTTATTAGGCCCACAGCAAAGCTGATTACACTATTAAATCACTGTACAGTATTCAGTGAGCATGTGTTGTTATTTTCATTTTTTTTTTACTTATTTCTTAAAACAGGTATTCTACATAATTTTGCCCATTTCTTAAAACCCTCAAGTATCCCACGTGAAGACAATAATTTTGTACTCCACATAAAAAAAATCATGTAAATAAGTGTAGGTACCAAGGTGTGGTGTACTGATGTGATATATATGAAGGTAGGACTAAGACGTGTGCCACACGACACCCACGCACAGATGTTCAACCGCACCTAAGAGCACACAAACCGTCTGGACTGATGCTGGATTTTCCTGACTTTTACAAATATTTAAGATAAATGGAGGGGCAGTTCGGAGCACCTCAGAGGGTCCGAAAAAAGCGAATTCCAGTGTATAGAGGTTCTACTGTACTGTATATATAATTGGATAAAAATAACTACAACCAATTAAGCACATAAATAAAACTTGAAATTAAAAGTACTGTACTCTTAAAATTACCTCTTAATTTGTGACATGACATAATTAACTTACCAGGAAGTTTATTTATATCTAAACTAAGTTGCCTTTTCTCATCATAGGACATAGGTTTGGCATTGTCCTCATCCTCAGAATCAAACACCATGCCCGGAGCTCCGCCAGCTGTCTTTTTCTTTGATTTACTAGCATTCGACCGTTGTCTCTTTTGTTTGTTGTTGCTTGTTTTATTCTTCTTAGGTTTAGGAGGAACTGGGCCCGGAGGTGGTGCTATAGGAGGCGCTACAGCGGAAGCAACAACTGTTGCAGCAGGCGTGTTCTGGTTTACTATGGGCGCCGCGGTGATTGGTAGATTAGGTAATTCTGCAAGCATTTTTTCACGATCTTTACTTTTCTTTTTGGTCTTTTTCTTCTTTTCCTTCCCTCTTCTTAGTGACTCTTCAACCAATAACTGAAAAGAAATATTGCCTTGTATACTCACAATCGTCATAAATGACAAAAATACTTAACTCTCTCCAATACAATTTCCAATTTTCCTCCAAGTATTATAATTTTAAAAGTGAAACAAAAAAATTATGAAATAACAAATAAAGTGGTAAATAGTGAAAAGCCAAAAGATACAGCATAGTTTAGCATTACTGATCACCCTAAAATGCACTTCCTACTGATACCAATTAAAAAGAAAACTGTTAATTTCTTGATAAGAATAGTGAAGAAAGAATAGAATGTCCAGGTGTACCTCACATAGAAATCCAAAATTAATAAACAATTGTTGGAACTGAAATTAACAATGTATGGCTTTAAAAAGAAAGATGAGGGGGGGACAATTTGCAAAAGTACCATAAATATTTAATATGTGCCACGTCCACCTGTAACCAGCTGTGTCATGTAAGTACACTGTCATTTATAATGTGACAAGCCAAATGTAATTTCAGTATTACCAAAACAAAAAGGTACTTTATCTTCATCTAAACATACTTCAACATAAAAAAATACAACAATTATGCCCACAGTGAATTTTAACAATACTGACAGAAATATGGAAGACAAACTGTGATACAAGCAAAGTGTCAAAAGCCAACTGAGCTGATAAGCACTACAAAAGTGCAAAGGCCTTCTCAACCACTGAGCACTAATAAATTAAGCAAATCACGGGTAACATTTGCATATTTCACCATCAAAAGACACAATTATGGATCACAGGTAAGTGACCAATTTTTTTATTACAGTACATCAGAGATGCAACCCTGCCTTGCCAGCTGTTGGGCATCTAGCCATAAAACTTTGTTCCAACATTCCTGATGGCATCCAGGACACCAGCGGTGTTATTCTTCTGGTCACTGCGACATTTACTGGGCTGGCCCACTGTCTGTACAGAAGGTTCTGGGTGAGCAATTTACAGGTTGACAGTATAAAAGACCAAACTGAGGTAGCATCCTAAAAGGCTGCTCCACCATCAAGCACATACCACAACCAGCTTAGTGCCAAGTAGCACATGGATGGGCATCCCAGAGGCTGGTTTCGGTGGGTCACTCCAAAGCCATGGAGCTACTTTTGTCAAGTTATTTTAGTCAGGGAGGAATTGAGAAGAGAAAGATGGACAGACAGCTTATGACAATAACCTTCCAGTCATAGGATAAAAAAGCAGTGTTTTACCTTAAATCTCAATTTGTAACAAGGAACTTTGATGCATGGAATCACCATCAAATCATCTCGTGACATTCATACAGTATAATCCTCCTCTTACAAACAGGCCTAGCACTTGACATTACTAGGAACCTAGCCAGCTGTATGGTGAATACCAATATAGGTATTTGGTAGTAGGCAACTACCAAACAGGGAGGTACTACCGCCTGGGAAGATATTGGAAGCATAATGTGTTGTCTAATGGTAGACCCTGCTGCCATATGGCATCACCAAAATTGTGACTAAGTCCCAGGTTGCTGATCTGACTTTCTGCCTCATTTACACACAATTGCAGGGTCTCAATTGTTTCTCTTACCACTGACAACACAACATACATATATTGCTTCTCACTCTTGATCTTTTTTCTTTTTCTTTTTATTTATCATTATTATTATAATTATTATTATTATTATTATTGCAGAGTTATTATTATTATCATTATTATTATTATTTTATTATTTACATTTTTGTATTTTTATTAAAATTTTTTACTTATCTGAATTATTATTATTACATTTTCGCTCCCCGGGACCCGATGTGGGCCAGTAACCTGTGCCAGGGTGGGTTATTCCCCGTATAAAAAAAATAAAAATAAATAAAAAATTTAACTTGTTAATGGATGATACCTAATAAACTAGTCCCCCACACCTACACGGGAACAAATGTTATGAGGTTCAACAGTTATGGAGCTGTGTGTGTGTTACAAATTATATACCTTTATATAAATTGAAAACTTACTGATTTATCTTTAAAAGGTACAGTCAGACCATCAATTACTTTTACCCCTGGGTGTGATGAACTTTAAACTAAATACTACCTCTCCTGTCGTCTTGATAGGGTTGGTAAGCGTGATTGTGATGATGTCATTTCCTGTATCCTTGTTTTTCGAAATTTTGGAATTATATTTTGAAACATATACAGGTATCCCTCGCTATACGAATGGGTTAGGTTCCTGAAAAACAATTCGTTAAATGAATTTTCGTATAGCGAATAAAAGAACATATGGATAAAATAGAGTCCGATTCCCCAATGACAAGAAAACCCCAATATCATACCCCAAAAACTTAAAATCAGTTCACGAAAAAATAAAACAAAAAACTAACTAATAATAAACAGTACACAACTACTGTACTGTAATTTACTACCCAACACATTGAAAATATTAATAAAATATTATCAAGATGAAAATATGCAGCAAAAACCATTAGGGAAAAGCTAAATGAAGTTTAACACAGCCAACAATTGCATAAACGCTGGATGCATCATGCTTGGCCGTTCTCAAGTCTAACCATAGCAACCCAGCCCGGCTGGGCATGCTCCTACTCCTGACCCTAAACAACGTTCCCCCACCCACAAAGAAATGTTTATACTCTTTGTTTTTTACTGTATAATAGTTATTTCTTTTACTTTCCTGCACACTGCATGATTGCGAACATATGTAACTGAGTATTAAAAAAGGAAGGGTGGGGTAAGAAAGTTAAGCTTATGTATCCGAAATGACAAGTTGAAAATTAACCATAACATAACTCCCCCCCAGCCCATCCTACTAATTCACGCTGGCACACAAAGAAATGTTTATTCCCTTTAACTTGTTTACTATATATATATATATATATATATATATATATATATATATATATATATATATATATATATATATATATATATATATATATATATATATATATATATATATATATATATATATATATATATATATATATATCTCTCTCCTCGACTTACGACATCCCGGACATACAACAGCCATGGACGTATAAAATATTTTTCACATTACATATTTTCAAGTCCCGAAACATTTGGTCGTAATGTGACCCCATATGACAGCATGAGCTGGGCCGCCTCATGGTGTACAGCATCGAAGCCGTAGCCCACTCAGTTGGTGTTTGGCCGTCATTGTTGTTGTTAGTGATCGCACTGTGTACTGACAAAATTTTCGTTTGTAATTCCTTTTAAAATGGCTGGCAAGCATAAAAGTGAGAGTTCTCGTGGTGCTGAGAAGAAAAAATACAGTCATTTACTTTTGATATGAAAATGAAAATAATAATGCAATATGAAAATGGATAAATGGCAGCAACCATTTCACGCGACCTTGGCTTCTCTCACTCGAAAATATCAACAATTTTGAAGGACAAGGCAGAGGCATTTGCTACTATTAATAAGGTTATGCAAATGTTTGAAGAAATGGATAAAAATGTTGAGCGTTTTGCAAAAGTTGACAGACTGATCGAAGATACACTTGCTTGCTACAGGGAGATTTACAATGAAAAGAAAAGGCAAACTGTGCAGTCTAAATTTGACATATTTTTTACTAAGTCCCCCACTGCTGTCTCCTCACACCCCACCACTGCTGCCTCTTCACTCCCTAAAGATGATCCAATACCTTCAACAAGTAAGTATGTTAGCACTGTCTGAAGAAAGCAAATTTGATGACCCACCCAGCTCTGTCTCCTCCTCTGCTTCATCCAATTCATGTAATCTACATACTTAATTAAAAAATTATTGAGGCTCCATGTGCATTCAGCTGACTACATTAAAGGTACTGTAAGTGCACAGTAACATTTTATTCATTTATGGTTATTTTTACTGTACTGTATTTCATTTCAGAATTTCTATGTATTATTTTCGCCTTACGACCTGGTCGTCGTGACGGAACCCCGTCGTAAGCAGCTAGGGATAAAAAAAAAAATTAAGTTATATTTATCTATCCCAAATTACGAGTTGAAAAATAACCATAACTCCTATTTCAGCCTGGTAGAGAGAGCACTTGCTAATGGAATGTGGCTGCCCCAGCTGACTCCCAGGGGCGTGCAATTTCAATTTTTGCCGGGACCCAAATTTTTATAGGTGGGGGAAGCCTTTGTAACACGAAAAAGAGATGGTAATTGATGATGCTTGTACAAGCAAGTTTTCTTATTTCAAACATTTGTACAGTAAAAGTCCAGAAATTCGGACCACCCGAGAATCCGGACTTTTAGGAAATTGATTTTTTTTTTTTAGCAGGCTGTTGTGTGTATGTGCGCATGCGTGAGCGCCACAGCTGCACAGCGACAACAAGCGACCACGTGGCCGCCACTTTAAAACGAGCAATCAAACTGTGACAAGGTATGTAATTTTGAGTCCTATTCTTTCCATTTACAGAGCCCATAATAATGGCTCCTAAAGTAGATAAACTTCGTTGTGTGAAGAGAAAGAAGAACACGTTGAAATTGAGTGACAAACTTGAAATAATTAAGAAACTAGAACATAGTGTGAGCAACACTGTTCTATTGGAAACATACGACATTGGAAAGTCTACAATTTATGATATAAAAGAGGCAAAGAATAAAATTCTAGAATTCACAGCTTTTTCCTTAAAACTGCTCGTTTTAATAAATGAAGCATGCTATATTTGCTATTGAATAAACTATCAAAATGTACCTGTTCATCTCTTCTTTATTCCTCCTTAAATTTGAATTTTAAAAGTACTGCCTGAGAATCCGGAAAATCTGAAAATCCGGACGAACCCAATCCCCAAGCAGTCCGGATTTTTGGACTTCTACTGTATAGTGAAGGATACCTGTTTATAAAGAGTTGAACTCCAAAAAGGCACAATTCCACTTAAAAATATTATTATAAAAAATAAATAAAAAAAAATCTTGTAAAATTCTAAAAAAACAAAACACGGCAAATTTTGATATAATAATAAATAGGCACTGTAATACAAGTTCCTGAAATTATTGTTTTAACAAGTTCACAATGTTCTCA